AGAGAGAGAGAGAGAGAGAGAGAGAGAGAGAGAGAGAGAGAGAGAGAGAGAGAGAGAGAGCTGGATCACCAGTGCAAACCATCTCACATCAGAATACAGACAGAAAAAGAATACGGACACAAGTGCGCATCTTGGGAAAAAAAAAACTATATGTGATGACCACATGATGGGCTGGACTGGAAAAAAGCAAGTATGTGGTGGGCTTGCCATGTAGCAAGGCACACGTTGTCACTGTTTGCTGCTTGCCCTACCACCACCATTCATTCTCCACTCTTTTTTTTCCTGTGCTTGTTGTTTTTCTGCTCCTTAGGAAGCAGCAAACGTTTACTTACGAACAATATAGCACGCCTGTAAGTAGGTGTTTTCAAACTTGTGATATTGAATATATGTGACAATATATATGCAGCAAACATATTAATCGTTGGGCTTGTAATGACCCGTCAAAACACAGACTGAGAACACTGCTGATTTCTGAGTTTTGCCGCTGGAATGAATGCCCTTGCTGAGATTCCCGCGTTCTGCTGAGTTTTTTAAGTCTGTTTGTGTGCATGCTTGCTGGTCTGCGTGCCTGTCTGAGTGCTTGTCGGCGTGAGTGTGTGTGTGTGACCCGCAAGGGCACTTTTGTTCAAGTGGGCCCTAAGGGCCGGTACTTACCTGTGGCCGTGACTTTGAGGGTTGCAGCGGGAAAAACACTCCTCAAGTAGCAGGTAGGCTGGTACCACTCAAGTAGCGGTGGATGTGTTGGGGACTGGTAGCTGGTAGGCTAGGTCTAGGTGGGTACCAGTTCAAGTAGCCTGAGTTTAGGGCCTGTGCGGACGATATCAGAGCCTGCAATGATGTTTCCCTTCGAAAGGGAGGAGGTACCGGTTGCTTGGAGGCCGCGCGGCCTGGAAGTCACCGCCAAGAGGCAAGTAGGCAGCTATATCTCCAGGCAGAGCAAGTTGCAGTATGCAAGTTTGGAGTCGTGCTGCGTGGGCGGACGCTGTGCCTCAGAGTGCTGCCTGGGAGGACGAAGGGGAGCTGAGCGCTCTGCCTGGCTATGGCGAACTACCCAGCTTGAGGAGGAGGAAGAAGGAGGCGAAGGAGGAGAGTGGCGAGGTACCTACTCCCACCATCTTCATCATCTTGTTAGGCGCTTCATCTGGAAGGCCCCAGTTGGGGCACTGCTGCATCAAGGAAGCTTCGAGGCAGAGTCAGGCATGGTGGCCTGAAGAGCAGCGACCATAGCTGCTTTGAGTTGTCTTTTGCACAGGAGGGCAGAGCCCTTAGTAGTCCGCCATAGCCCTGGCATGTGAGAGGAAGGTGAAGGCGGAAGCCATGGCTATGGTGGACCTATTGTTGTACTGGCAGCAAGAGGGAACTTCAGATATTGATTCTGGTTCAACCACTCATAATGTCTCATTGTTATTATTATTATTTGGCAAAAGAATAAGATTGGCGGAGTCAAGGAGGCGGAGGAGAGTGGAGAAGAGAAAGGGAATTTGTCATTGGTCGTGCTGGTGTTCTTCTTCTTCTTCTTCTTCTTCTTCTTCTTCTTCTTTTCTTCTTCTTCTTCTTCTTCTTCTTCTTCTTCTTCTTCTTCTTCTTCTTCTTCTGCAGCTGCTGCTGCTGCTGCTTCTTTCTTTGTCCTTCTTCCTTGTTCTTTTGGTCTCCATCTCTTTGCAAGTGCTTTCATTTCTTTCGCAATCGTAGGGTGGCATTGTCTTTCTTTGTGAATAATTTGCACTTTGGAAATAACCGGGATCGTAACAGAGTTAAACAGACTTATATAAAGTGGACTTTTGCAACATGGACAAGTTTGGTGCACTTTTAACAATAGTGTTTACCGCTTCCCATTGTTTACAAACAGTATCGTTTTTGTTTTTTTTTTCCTTCCCTTACAAAGTAATACAAACAGTATTTTTCTTTGGTGTATTTTTTAATTATTTTCTCTTCAATCTTATTGCAGGGCTTACATTTCGACATGCACTTTACCCAGAGTACAAGTCTGATAGGAATCCCACCCCAGATTTGGTGGATCAAGCGATGCCGTATGTGAAAGCAGCCATAGCGGCTCTGGGTTTGTCAATAACTGAGGTAGGTGATTTTATTTTTATTTTTATTTTTGAATGGATTCACACTGCAAGCTTTCCCAGTCCCGGTTACAGGGTCCTACATCATCCCAGTCCTAGGCCCCCGTTGATTAGAATCTTAGGGCCTGTAGGATCAGGTGTCGCAGGCCGGATGGCTACAGTACCGTACAGTACCTGTAGGAGCATGTCAAGTCCCCAAGAAGTACAATTTTGCAGCAGCCTCACAAGAAAGTTGGGAACTTTCCCAAAATAGCATTTTGGCAAGGCAGAGGCTGAAGGAGGCCAGTACCGATTGAAGCAGGAACGAAAACAGTCCACTGCAACTATATATCTTGGACTACAGTGCCAAAAGGGTCACTTGTTCATTTCGCAGAATTGTGGAAGCATTGCGAGAGCTTGTGCGCTCAAGCGACCTGGACGAAGAAGGAGCACAAGGGGGGAGAAGTGCGCAGTGCCTGGCTGCTACAGTCAGCCATAGCCAGGCGAGAGGGGAGAGGTTCCCCGGTGGCCATAGCCACCCAGGATCAGTAAGGCACACCGTAGTAGCATTCAGGGTAGATCTAGGACGTCGAGAGAGGAACAGTCAGTGAGGAACAGTGAGGGAGGAACAGTGCAAGAGAGAGAGAGAAAGAGAGAGAGAGAAAGAGACTATCGAGAGAGACAGGGAAAGAAAGAAAGAGAGAAGAGAAGCAGCCNGAGACTATCGAGAGAGACAGGGAAAGAAAGAAAGAGAGAAGAGAAGCAGCCGAGGGAGGAGGAAGTTGGTTACATACCTGAGGCTTGTTGCAGCGGTTCAAACCGCTTATTCTCAAACTTTTCCAATGGTATATTATTGCACCTTGAGTGGAACTTCGAATTTGCACTGTTCATGGACATCACTCCAGCTTGTGTGAACTTCATCTGATTGCTCTCAATTTGCATGTTATATTCTAAGATTGAATCTAGAGAGGTTCATTTCATTTTTATTTTTTTAAAACAACAGGGCCTGAAATATCTTTCCCTAGGAATCCCTACACTGTTTTGAAGTTTTTTTTTTCAGACTTCCTCTGCCTATGCTCAGACTTGGATAGGCTGGACTTGTTGGCCTTGTTTGCTATTGTTTTGATTTCGTTTTGAGCAAGTTTTTTAGAATCGTAGGTTAGTGGTATTTGGTTTTAATCTCTGGGTGGGGATTCGAACCCCGGACCTCTTGTGTTTTTTTGAAGTTAGTGCCTGTTCCAACTGGCCTGTTGCCGGGACCGGCCGATACCAGCACTGAAGTCCACTTTGGATGTACATTGGTACGCTAGCATTTTTTGGTTTGGCTCCGCGTCTATAACTACGGTAAGTACGATTAGTTGGGTCTCTTACGGGTTGCTCGTGAACCCACGACCGCTAATCTGATTAGCGCTAGCGGACTGCGAGTACTGGTTGGCGGAACGATCGGTGGTTTTCTAGGGTGTGTGGATTGATGAGCTGAACCGTAGTTTTCTAATCAATTGTACTTCGTCATTTGCCTGTCTACGACTCTGTCTTATTTATGACTCTGTCTTGACTGGTCATTGGCTTACTCTATGTGCAACATGTGAGACTATTCATCAACACTATGCTCAGACTTTGATCTCCTGCTCTTTTTTTTTTTTTTTTTTTTTTTTCCAACACAAAACCCCTTCTATTTTCGGGGGCAGCAGTCCGGTTACTTATCAACGGCAAGCATGTTTGTACATCCAAAGAAGGTGGGGAGATCAGATCAGAAAAGGGGAACAGCCCAACCCTTGTGGCATTGATCGTCTACCAAGGGGGGGGCTGCTAAAGGGCGCCCACCCCCCCAAACCATGATCTTTCTCTGGGGGCCACCCTGCTGGCCGGGAGGCTTCCTAGCAGCACCCAGACAGGCAGCAGGGGGACCCTCAGAGAGACGGGGTGCGGGGAAGGGCCTCCCCTGCAGTTCCTCAGGCCGCCTATCAAAACTCCACAGACTATTGTATCATCACTTCCTACTATCTACCTTTTTTTTTTTTTTTTTTTATCCAGCTATCATGCTATCTGTTTTAACCTGTTTGGGCTACCTGACCATCCCTCAGTGTACCTCCCTCTTACCTAGCCTCCATGTCATTTACTGTCTCTATGTACCTTACTCTGTTATCCTATTTCGGCTGTACAATGTATCCTAAATCCTCCCAGCGCCTTCTACCCCGCATTGACTTTCCTGTTCCTGTACTCTCTTTTTAGTATTTTAAACTATTTTTGGTGTTTTTGTTGTGTTTTTTATGTTTCTGATGTATTGTGATCTCTGTTCATCCATCCCCCCCTTCCTCCTCCCTGTCCACCCTATCCCTCCCCTTGTCCTCCCTCCCTCCCTCCCTCCC